CCTGCCGCTCGCGGTGCCCTTCGTGGGACGGCTGCGTGGCTGATTGTGTCCCATCGTTCCGGTATCAGCTTAAGTCAGTTCCTGGGAGAGGCCATCCTTTACCCCACACCCCAGGAATCTCCTTTCACAACACCCTGTTTATTTCCTTCATTGCACTTAGCACATGGCAATTATTTTGTTTATTGATCTATCTGCTCACTGTCTACCTCCTCTAAGAATCGTCTCTGTCTCATCACTGTTGTGTCTGTAACACCTATCACACGTCTACACCTAGGAAGGAACTCGGCAAACATTGGTTGAGTTACAAATCAATGTTGATTACTCCTTCCACATAAACCTCCTTTCTCTGGGGGAACATCACAAACATTCCCAAAGCTGACGTGCCCAGCCTCTTACCCACAATGCCGTGTAGCAGCCACTTACTTCACTGGGGCTTCGTCTCCACAGCCGAGCTTTCAGAGTCCACGTCTTCAAAGGGCACAGAAGCATCCGTGTGCTAATCGGTGCGGTGTGAATTCAGAAAAAAGGTGAAGAAAGGGAGGCAGTTCAAAAAATATAATTACGGCCCTGGCCGGTTTGGTTCAGCGGTTGGAGCGTCAGCCTGCGGTCCAGAGAGACCCGGGTTCGGTTCCCGCTAAGGGCACGTGCCTCGGTTGCAGTTTGTCCCCGGCCCTGGTTGGGTCATGCGGGTGACAGCCACTTGGTGTGTCCCTTTCACGTCGATGTTTCTCTCTCTCTCTCCCTTCCTCTCTTTCCCTCCCACTCTGTCTGAACAAAAAAATGGAAAAATGTCCTCAGGTGAAGATAAAAAAATATATATATAATTACGGCAAAATGTCAAAAAGAAATGGAAATCATCGCTGTTCACAATGCACCCCTTGCTTAATGGATAATACACTGTAGCAATAACCTCAACATTTAAAAGAAAACTCTTCCAGGATCAGAACTGGACATGGAACAAGGCGATGGCAAGAAGCTCTCCTTTTGTTCCCATTTTATCACAACTGTTTTCACAGCAAGTTTCTGGAAATGAAATGTTGGGGATGAAGGAGCCCTTTTGAAAAGGGAGGAAAGAAAGCCGGGATTCATGGCACAGGGTCCACAGTGTCCTGAAAAGTGTGGCACAGATAAGGAGTGGGCCCAGTGACACTGCTGGTACATTTCCTTCGGAGACCCTTAGCTTGGAGAAACGAGGAGCAGTCACAGAACAGAAACCCATCCCGGGAACAACAATTAGGACGGAGAACATTCGAGATCATTGCACCCTATACTCCTGGCCTCTCCTCCATGGATCATGCCCAGTTGTAAAGAATATTGTCCGTATTTCTTCACTTGTCCTTCCTCCTCTCCTTGCCCCTAGAATGAGCTCTCAAGTGGACAAGCAGGGAATCCTCAGGAGACCGAGTGTGGGTGACTCCTGAACACTGATGGGGTGGGGAGCAGAGCTGAGCAGAGAAGCGATGTTTAACGCAGAGGGGGTGGTGAGCCGTGGTCCTCTCCTTGGCCGACTTTTAGGTTCTCTTGGGATTAGGTAGAACTCACTCCACAGCAGATGGTCTAAGTCTCCTGACTCTATTCTTTGCTCTCAACATGCTGGAGAATAATAAAACCGTATAATCACCTTTCCAATCCCTAAGATTCACTAAATACATTATTGCATACATATCGAATTTTCCTGGCGACAGCACCCCAGTAGAAACAGTTAGGGAATTATCTCTTGCTGTTGTGGGCAATATTGATATAACTGCCACTCAGAATGCCCTGGCCTGGCCAAGCTGCAGCACATAACCTAAGCTGGACAAACTGGCCTCCATCTGCCGAAACGTCAAGTCCCAGACAGGAAATAAAAGGATGAAAACGTTGGGAGTGGACCACACTGCCAGCTAGCTCCTGACAATGCACCTTACGCCTCCTGAGCTGAGTTTTCAGTTGATTTTTTGATTCTGTGAGCTATCCCATGTAACCATGTAGTGAAATCCAATGTTTGCTTGAGTATCTGTTTCCCAGGGCAGCCAGAACGAAATACCACAGACTGGGCACTGTAAACCAAGTGACATCTTCTCTGACTGGGGAATTCTGGAGGCTAGAAGTCTGACATCGGCGTGTCGGCAGTGCTGGTTCCTTCGGAAGCCCTGAGGGAAGTCTGCTCCATGCCTCTGTCCGAGACTTTGAGACTTCGGTGGCTGCTGTGATCTTTAGCATCTCTTGGCTTTCCAGTGCATCACTCCATTCCTGCTTCTGCATTCACATGGCCTTCCTTCTGTGTGTGTCCAAACTCCCTCTTCTTAGAGGAACACCAGCCATGGGGCTGGGACCACCCTAACCCAGTAAAACCTCTTTCTAACGTGACTCGATTGCAAACACCCCGTTTCAAACAAAGGCCACATTGAGAGGTTCCATGCGACCCAGTACAACACGCAGCCCCAAACCAACCTCTGACCCAGGTATGTTCCAAACCACTGTGAAAAGTGGGTTCTATACATGATCTGCTTTCATCCCAACGACCTTTAAGGTGGGCACCTTCAGGACTCTCATTTTAGAGGTAGAAAAATGAAGACCCAGAGAATTTGAGTTCAAATGACCAGTAAGAGGCAGTTAAGATTCAAAGCAAGGCCTAACTCTGATACAAAGTGTGTTCTCCTCATCACTACATTGCGTTCCAGGCTTTGTCCTGCCTGGAAATGCAGCGATGGCCCCCCAACCCCCAACCACAAGCCATGAAAGGCAAATGGTCCACTTCCCAAACTGGGGCTAGGTCTTCACCTCTCCACGTGGCTGTCTGCTGTCTCGGTGCCTCGGTCCTAGGTCACAACCAAGTCAGAACATCTGCACGAGAACCGGGAAGGACCCTGAGCGAAGCAGAGAACTGCCATGATGATCCGCTCAGACGTGCACATGGGCAGCAGAGGCAGAAAGAAACCTCTGAGCTCTGGGTCAGATGGGCAGAGAGACAGAACAGGAGGAGGTGGGGTCTGCGGGGCAGCCTGTTCTCTGCGAGGCCCAGGCCGTGAAGGCATAAGCCTAGATGATCAGATCACCAAACACCTTTAGAGCTTTTCCCTCCGCAAGACTCTTGGTTGAGTAAGGACTTGGATCATGTAACAGTTCAGTGCTCACTCACTGATCCATCCTATAGACTTTGGGACAAATTCAGACTTTCCTTGAGCCTAGAAAGAGTTGGGAGAGCCATATTCTTAAAAAATATTCGATCCAGACCCTGGCTGGTGTGACTCAGTGGTTAAAGCGTCAGCCTGTGTACCAGAGGGTCACGGGTTCAATTCCCGGTCAAGGGTGCATACCTGGGTTGCAGGTTCAATCCCTGGGTGTGTGCAGGAGGCAACCAATCGACGTTTCTCTTTCTCTCCCTCTCCCTCCCCCGCTTCCATTCTCCCTAAAAATCAATGAAAATAAATATTCTCAGGTGATGATTAACAACAACAAAATATTAGATCCAGGGTGTGTTGGGTTTTTAACTTAAGAGACCCTCACTCTCACTCATTGCCAAATTTAGAATTCACAAATATTTTATTTAGAAACAACTTATAATTGTCTCTTTTTTTTTTTATCCTAACCTGAGGACATTTTTTGCATTTATCTTCAGATAGAGCAGGAGAACGAGAGGGGTGAAGAAAGAGAGAGAAACATTGATGTGAGAGAGACACATCCTTCAAAGGGAACCCCCAACCACACACAAAGGTGTGTGGCAGGCGTGCACACACACCAAGGCGTGCACACACACACATACATGCAAGTTCAATGATCAAATTGCACCCTAGGGCCAGAGCATCAGGCCCTGGAAGAGGATACTGACAGGTGGTAGCAGAGGTGGGTCAGAATGTCCTAAAATAAAAATAGAATCAATGAGCCTTGAACCACAATCCCAGGGGGAAATCATGTAGCTGGAGGACAGTGTTACTGCTACTTCTGAACCACTGTCTACGAAGATTTCAATCAAGGGGGCTTTTTTGGTAACATTTTCTATTGTTATGAGAGTACCACACAGTCCTCACAGAAATACTAGAGAGATAAACAAAAATAAAATAAAAATTATTCGTTAGCCTATCATCTGGAGACACCAGCTGTAAACATTTGTATTTGTATCATTCCAGATACTTTCCCAAGTATTTCCCCCCAAAATGGTGTCTAACATGCACAGTTTCACAATCACCTTCTTTAACTTAAAAATGTATCCGGCCCTGGCCGGTTTGCTCAGTGGTTAGAACATCGGCCCGTGGACCAGAGTCCCAGGTTCAGTTCCCGCTAAGGGCATGTACCTTGATTGCAGTTTGTCCCTGGCCTTGGTTGGGGTCGTGCGGGTGGCAGCCAGTCGATGTGTCTCTCTCACATCAATGTTTCTCTCTCTCTCTTCTTCCCTTTCTCCCTCCTGTCCTATCTGAAGATAAATGCAAAAATGTCCTCGGGTGAGGATTAAAAAAAAAGTGTCCAAAACTTCTTTTCATCCCATTAAATGTCATTCTACAACATGACTTCCCATGACTGTATAACTCATTGTATGATGCCCTCACTGAACATGTAGCTGTCCAGATTGTTGCTTTAACCAATGCTGCAAAATTTCATGTCGCTGCTAAATCTCTGCACATGATTTATTTCCTTAGACTAAATGCCTGCAAATGTAATTACTGGGTCAAAAGCTGTGTAACACTTGAGGTTCTTTTTATAGGTATTGTTAAACCATCCACCGGGAAAGTTGTACCAATTTATATTCCCACAGAGGAGGAAGCCCATTTCGTGCATCTTTGCCAACAATGTATTTTACCCTTTAAAAAAATCTTTAAGTCACCACTTATTCTATAAAAGCATCCACATCTCTGAAAGGCAAGATTTTTCCTGCCAAGAAGTACATTTGAGTCACTAGGGGATTAGTCCAGTTATTCTAAAACCATTTGATTTCTGTCCTTGTGCCTGAAGTTGTTTCCACCCACTGATGTCTTGGGGAAGAAAATGGTAAAGAAGAACTTAAATGAAGAGGAAAAACATACATATTCTCCTATCTCTACAGACACTGAAGAGGCTGGTGCTCCAGTCCCCGCCAGTCTGGACAATCGTTGTGATCGTGGTCCTGCCTCTGGCTCCCCGGACAGGCTGCTTCACCACAGCCTGGGCTGGTGCATGCCTCCTGGAGGGTCAAAGTTGGTGATTAATTTAGGACACAAAAAAAATAGTTCAGAAGAATTGTTAAGCCAAGACAGAGTCATAAAGAGGAGACAGGGACCCTGTGATGCCAAACCCAAGCTGACCTCACCATCTCCCTCCCTCCTCCCCCATCATACCTTCTCTTTTTTTTTTTTTTTTTAAATCTTTATTGTTGAATGTAAAATGTATTACAGATGTTCCACATTTTTCCCCCACTGACCTCCTCCTCCCCACTCCCGCCCTCCTCCCGCCTTTTCCCACACTATTGTCTGTGTCCATTGGTTATGCATATAAATTCTTTGGTTTATTTCTTCCCACCCCACCCCCCAACCCCTTTCCCTTTGAGGTTTGTCAGTCTAGCAATGAATTTGTGCTTCTTAATCCCTTCACCTTTTTCACCCATTCCCCCAACCCCCCTCCCAACTGGCAACCAACAAAATGTTCTCTGTATCTATGAGAATGTTTCTGTTCTGCCTGTTCATTTTGTTTGTAGATTCCATTGTCGATAGATATGTATTCATTGCCATTTTGTTTGTTCATATATTTTATCTTTTTCTTCAAAAAGACCCTTCATCATTTCATATAATAACGGTTTGGTGGTGATGAGCTCCTTTAACTTTTTCTTGTCTGGGAAAGTCTTTATATGGCCACTGACTCTAAATGACAGCTTTGCAGGATAGAGTAATCTTGGTTGTAGTTTCTTGCTTTTCATCCCTCTGAATATTTCTTGCCACTCCCTTCTGGCCTGCAAAGTTTCTTTTGATAAATCAGCTGACAGCCTTATGGGAACTCCCTTGTAGGTAACTAGCTGCCTTTCTCTTGCTGCTTTTAAGATTCTCTCTTTGTCTTGAACCTTTTGCATTTTGATGATGATGTGTCTTGGTGTGGGCCTCTTGGGGGTTCATCTTGTTTGGGACTCTCTGTGCTTCCTGGACTTGTATGTCTTTTTCCTTCACCAAGTTAGGAGAGTTTTCTGCCATTATTTTTTCAAACAGGTTTTTGATTTCTTGTTCTTGCTCTTCTCCTTCTGGCACCCCCAAGATGCGAATGTTGGCATGCTTGAAGTTGTCCTAGAGGCTCCTTACACTATCCTCATTTTTTTGGGTTCTTTTTTCTTTTTGCTGTTCTGATTGGGTGTTTTTTGCTTCCTTATATTCCAAATCGATGGTTTGCTCCTTGGATTTAAGTAGTCTATTATTGAAGATGTGTAAATTATTCTTTATTTCAGTTAATGCCTCCTTCAATTCTAACTGTGCATCCATGATTTCTGACTAGTCCTTTTTTATGCTCTTGAGGCCCTCACTAAGTTCACTGAGGTTCTCACTAAATTCATTGAGCATCCTTATAAGCAGTATTTTGAACTAAGCATCTGTTAGGTTGCTTATCTCCATTTCGCTTAGTTCTTTTTTTTATCCTCACCCGAGGACATCTTTCCTTTTTTTTTTTTGTTCAGATAGAGAGGGAGGGAGAGAGAGGAAGAGAGAGAGAGAGAAACATCGATGCGAAGGGACACATCGAGTGGCTGCCACCCGCACGACCAACCAGGGCCAGGGACAAACTGCAACCGAGGTACGTGCCCTTAGCGGGAACCGAACCCGGGACTCTCTGTACCGCAGGCCAGCGCTCCAACCACTGAGCCAAACCGACCAGGGCTTCGCTTAGTTCTTTTCTTGGAGTTTTGTTCTGTTCTTTCATTTGGGACCTTTTTCTTTGTCTCCTCATTTTGGCTGCCTCCCTGTGTTTGTTTCTGTGTATTACTTAATGAGAGGTATGGGGCTAGCTGAGACCAGATGCTGCTCATTTGAAAGAATTTAGGAAAAACCTGAAGCAGGATCCAAGACAGGCCAATCCTATGGTTAAGCAAGTGGCAACAGCTTGGGTGGGTTTGAAAGTTGGGTGGGGCGGGGCCTCAGGGAGTCACCAGGGCGGGGCTACCAGTGTGAGCCAGGTTGCTGGGGTCCCAGATATGGCGGCTGTCTGCCGCCCCCGGGAAGGGCTCACCAAAGGAACAAAGGCCTCTAACAGCACGTTTGTCCCGGAGAAAGCCCCCTCTCCAGCCCTCGCTCCAGTGCCAAACAGCTCAGTTCTTCCCTGTATGTCTCTGGTGCCCCTCGAGCTGCCTCCCCTCCAAGCTTAGAGGGAGAGAGTCGGATAAGTCCATGCGCGGGCCCTTTAAGGAGCTGCCTGGGGCTCCAGCCGGGTCAGCTTCCCTGAGCCTCAGTTCCCGCTGGTTTTCCAGCCAGAAGTTATGGGGATTCTCTTCCTGGCACTGGAACCCTGAGCGGGGTGCCTGGTGTGGGACGGGGACCCCTCAGTTCTCAGGAAGGACCTTCCCAGCCGAGGTGTCCTCCTGATTTTTATCCGCCACACGTGGGTGTGGGACCAGCCCGTCTCACCACTGGCCCTCGCGCCTCCGCCCCTCCTACCAGTCTGGATGTGGCTGCTGCTTTAATTCCGTAGTTGTAGGACTTCCATTCAGCTTGATCTCAGGCGGTCTTGAATGATGGTTGTTCTGTAGTTTAGCTGTAACTTTGATGTTTTTGCGGGAGGACGCGATTCCGCGTTCACCTATGCCGCCATCTTGACCGGAAGTCCCCTTCTCTAACTTTTTGTTCCACCTCTATTAACATTATTATTCCAAATCCTGTCCCTCAAACACAATGTCCTGTCTACTTCCTCAGTGTTTCTCGGTGCTTCATAATAGTCAATTCACAAATTTGGAAGCAAGAGGCCTCGGTTCAAATCGCAGCAAGCTCCTGCATGGAATAGCAGGCCGGCTGGAAGGGAAGAGGATCGTGACGCAGGCAGTGAGGCCTCAGGGGGCAGAGAGCGCAGCAGCGGTGAGGGCCGGGAGCTGCCTGTCTAGAAGGGAAAAGCCGGGCCCTTCCACTGTCCAACAGGCGTTCCAGACCAGGCTTACCTGCCTAACAAGCTTTTCAAGAGTCTACAGGAGTAAGTTCTGGAAAAAAGTATGGGCTGCAAAATAGCAATGCTCCATTAAACACAAAAAATCTAGCATTGTCACTCTCACTCGTTGCCAAATTTAGAATTCACAAATATTTTAGTATATTTAGAAACAGCTTATAATTGTCTTTTTTTTTAATCCTCACCCGAGGACATTTTTTGCATTTATCTTCAGATAGAGCGGAAGGGGGAGAGGGGTGAAGAAAGAGAGAGAAACATCGATGTGAGAGAGAGACATCGACCAGTTGCCACCCACACAACCCCAACCGGGCTGGGAACAAACTGCAACCAAGGTACGTGCCCTTAGCAGGAACCAAACCCAGGACTTTCTGGTCCACAGGCCGACGCTCTAACCACTGAGCCAAATGGGCTAAGGCTATAATTGTCTCATTTAAAAAATAAAAATTCCAAGTATGAATGACTGCTGAGAAGCAGCGACCAATCATAAATGACTCACAGCCAAGTAATTGCAAAAGCAAAAATACAGAAATCCTTTCCCATATTATATAGCAAATATATAATGTATATAATGTATGGTATGGATACATTTTAATATATTTGTTCTAATGAGGACCTGTTGCTAATGGACTAAATTGTGTCCCTCAAATTCATGTGTTGAAGCTGACCCCCAAAGTGTCTGTATTTGTAAAGAAGAGTTTTTGGAGGTAATCAAGGTTAAATGAGGAGTGGGGTGGGGTCCTGGTCCAACGGGATTGCTGGCCTTCTGAGGACTGGAAAGGCCATGTACGCACACAGCGAGAAGGCTGCCACCTAGGAAGAGTCCCCCCAGAACCCTGTGGGCACCCCGATCTTGCACTTCCAGACTCCAGAACTGTTCTTTAAGCCTCCCAGTCTATGGCATGTTGCTATGGCAGCCCAGGTTGACTAGGAAACCTGTGAGGATCTCAAACTGGCCCTGAAAAATCGACCTTTCCACGTATCTCGTTTGCTCTATTCCCATGTCAGCTCCTCGGGCCAGGGGCACACGCTGCTTCTCCGTGGCCCCAGAACCCAGCGTACTGCCTGGAACCTAGCTGGTGCGTGTATTTGTTGAATTGAGTCAAATTGCATGCACACATCTCTTCCATTATATTTGAGTCCTCAAATCTAGCTATAAATCATGTGACCTTCATGGGTTCATCCTCTAGTAGAGGCACGACTCTCAGGTGTGAAGTGAAGAAATAAAAGCAGAGCAGCCTAAAAGCTGCCTGCATCCCCCACACCATCCGAGGATTTCCCTCTCCATGTGTTGATGCCTACAACTTAGCGCTTCTGTCATTATACTGAGAGCTTCCAATTACCTCCAGCTTTTAGTAGAGGAATTTCTTAGCACCGAGCCCCTGGATTCCATTTCCCCCTGAAATAAACCAGTAACAGTCTACAGCCCTAGACTCAAAGTTTCTGTTTCTCTCTCACTCAGCACATTGTGTGAGACACCTTTTATTATGGCGAGGGAGCCTGTCTCCTATCTGTTCCCAATCAAACAGCTAAGAGGCTAGCTTTCCTTGGTGAAAATAAAAGTTGGATTTTTTTTTGGGGGGGGGGGGGTGTTACCTAATGTACTCAAGAAGTACTTTATTGAGTTTCTTTCCTTTACACCCTGATTCTTTGGTGATTTTTTATAGTAAAACATTTGAATTAACAAGCGTTGGCTAAAACATTTTAGTTCACAATTATAGCTCATATGTCATAATGAAAATAACAAGCATAGCCCTGGCCATGGCTCAGTTGGCTGGAGCATCGATCATCCCATGCGCTAAAAAGGTCTCAGGTTTGATTCCTGGTCAGAGCACACACAGGTTGAGGGTTTGATCCCTGATTGGGGTGTGTATGGGAGGCAACCCACCAATGTTTCTCACGTTGATGCTTCTCTCTCTCTTTCTTCCTCTCTCTCCAAAAAATCAATAAAAACATATCGGGTGAGGATTAAAAATAATAACAAGCGTAGCTACCCTTCACTGAGCACTTTCTATGTACAAGGCACTGGGGAGCTCCTTTAAGAACTGAGTACTCAGGGCCGCTACAGGGATCCGACTAAGTAGCTATTGCAACTTCCTGCACAGTTTTAGCTCAGAGAATGTTACACTGCCATTTGATTTCGGAAGGGTGGACATGACTGGCAGCCATAGGAAGTTTCACTCGGTCAGGGTTCAACACTTGAGGAATAGAGACATCCTCTCACCCAAGCCAGCCCTTCTCTTTTCGTGAGCCACACACGAGCAGCAGGAGCTAATCAGCTGCCCCCTTCCTTTCTCAAGCACACGGGAAATGACAGCCACTGCTTTCTTCCCAAGCCCCGCTTTCCTCCCCTGGCTCCTTACGAGAGATTGATTCGATATTCCAACCAAAGGGCAAAAGCTGGGGTGGGGGTGGGAGGAGGTCACCAAACTCCCTACCTCAAGTTGGAAAGAAAATGTTGTTCATCGTCAGATGATAGGAGTGAAAGCGACACAGGACAGTGTATGTTGAATAGGGAAACATCCTCGGGAAACTTCGAGAAGTCACTTCCAAGCCAAGTCATAGTGAGAGGTGTTTTCTGGTTACGTGGGCTATCCTTTTCCCCGCGACAGCAGGCTGATTCTAAACGAGGCTGATTCAGAGTTGGAGCAGCTCTAGAGAATGTTGCCTTGATATTCTGGAACCTGAGGTCATAGCAGTGCAACCGATGGGCATCCTGTTTCTTTAAAGGCAGGTACACACCTAAGTGTAAGCATGTCCGTCTACTAATCTGAAGAGAGGTACTGCTGATGTAGTGTTTATTAAAACAACAACAAAAAACTTACCTTTGGTGTAAAGTCCCTTTGCCTTGAGAGGTAACTCTAGTAAGCGTCTATCTAGCAATGTCACTGGACCTTCCCATCGGGGACTCAGAGGGCTCCAGATTTCTGCCATGTGGTGCAGCTGAGAAGCAGCAGGGGCCTCTCCTCATCCCAGGACTGCTGATCCAATTCAGCAAGACGAGTCCCATGACTAACCCGGAAGCAGGGACAAAGGTCTTTCAGCCCAGACATTAGACTTGAGTCCATCTCACGAAAGACGGTCTAAAGTTTGCGCTATGCAAGGTTGTCCTAAGCCTCTAAGGCCTTTTAGAACTTCTAGAAATCCCCCCCTCGTGGACTTCACTGATCATGCCAGCGAGGTGTGCTGCTTGCTGCTCCCCTTCCCAGCCCAAGGCAACGGAGTGAACAGAAGCAGGATGGCCGGTGACTCCCCACTGCTCTGAATCTTCAGGGTCTTGGGCGCCTCTGAAATTCCCTCTAGGGCATGCCTTATGGAGGATGCCCTACAGGAAAGGTCCTTAGAGGGGAAAAAAAATTAGACAAAATCGCACATTGAGGGGAGGGGTCTGCAGTCATAATTCAATGTCATGTAAAAAGATGACAGAAGGAGCCCTGGCCAGTTTGGCTCAGCGGTTAGAGCGTCGGCCTGCGGTCCGGAGAGACCCGGGTTCGGTTCCCGCTAAGGGCACGTACTTCAGTTGCGGTTTGTCCCCGGCCCTGGTTGGTCGTGCGGGTGGCGGCCACTCGATGTGTCCCTTCACATCGATGTTTCTCTCTCTCTCTCTCCCTTCCTCTCTCTCCCTCCCACTCTATCTGTACAAAAAATGGAAAAATGTCCTCGGGTGAGGATTAAAAAAAAAAAAAAAAAAAAAAAAAAAAGATGACAGAAGGAAACTGCCAACTACACTATATATTCTTGTCATCAGACCTATGCAGAACGATTGCTTAGGGTTCTGAACTTCAACGCATTTACTTAAGCAGGGTTGTTAACAAAAACCTACACAATATTTCCCAAACCAAGACTCTTCAGGTGTAGCCTCATAATTGTATTCACTCACCGGGTTCTGGGCAACCCTTAGTGTCTTAACTATGAGAAACACATCCTATTGAAGGACAGCCATGTTTCCTCTCTATTCCAAAGGCTGACACAGTATCTGAAACATAACATGCACTCGATAATGTGTCAAATCAATGAGGTATACACAAAAATTCAAGTTTATAAGAATAACAAAAATTAAGAGGCAATTACTTGCTTTGCAAAAAAGATTTACAATAAGATCCCTTTGAAGAGTGAACAATCACTGTACATGTAAGCTGATTCCCATATTTAACATTTCATTTGTACCCAATTTTTTAATCAAACATCTATTGTATGAAGTGACTCATCCACATGTCACACGGCTCCTTCACCTAAAAATAAAATGAAAAGGGAATGTTCTTCTTTATAGAATGACAACTATTTATGAAAAAGAAATGATAGCATTGGAAAATGACCATTTTGCATAGCCCCCCAACATAAAAGTTCTTCAGGAAAGGATCTTCAAGGGGTACTAAAACCATAAGGTAAAAAATTGGGAACAGGACATCCCCAAAGTGCAGAAACTCCACTCCACAGATTCCTAGTTGCAAAAGAAACAATGTATCTCATCTCTGGAGAATTCCAACAATTCTCAAAATGTATCTTTATAATGGAAAGTTCTGAAAGTGCTTTTTTAAAAGTATCTTTATAACAAAGGCTCTGAAGTGATTTAAAAATATGTATCTTTATAATGAAAAGTCTGGAAGTGATCAAAATGTAAAAATGGAGAATTTGGGAAATTATCAAATTTAGTATCACTATGAGTGGGACATTATGATAACTGATATTATACACCTCTTGATATGATACAACTGGAAATAATGTTTAACCTAAATTTTATTGTCTCTAGACCACACTGTCCAATAGAAATATGCCAGCCTCATATGTAATTTTAAATTTTCTAGTTTAAAAAAAGTAATTTTAATATATTTAACCCAATTTATTCAAAATATTATTTCAGCATGCAATCAATATAAAAGAAAATTATTATCGAGACACTTTGTATTCTCTTTGTCATATTAAAACTTTGAAATTGGAAGTGTATTCTACACTTTTGCAGAATACCTCAGTTCAGACTAGCCACATTTCAAGTGTGCTACAGATACATGGTTAGTGGCTAAAGCATTGGACAGCACAGCTCTACACCCAACTCCAATATAAGAAAAACAACAAACAGAAGAACAAATGACCACCTCCTCCTCCCAAGTGAAAGTGCAGTAAGTACTCCTCTGTCACATTTCATAATAAACCCTTACGAGCAAGGATCATGTCCTATCCTGGGTTTTTGTTTGTCATGTATGTGAGAAGGAGTTCCCCACCTTATAACCAATTAAACTGTAAGGCTAGCCAAGGACAATCAAAAATTTAATTGATGTTGCAAGTCTTGGGAGGCATCTGAATATTTTCTAATACAGGTGTGAAGTTATATTCAAAGATATTAAGAAAACAGTTCAACAAAGCATCAGCTAACACCGAAACCTACAAGTCAGGCACACAGATATCTAATAAATAGTCATGAGGTTTTGGACGCAACTTCCACAAACTACAGAAGACACGAAGGCATATATCATCTCATTCCCTCTTCAAAAATTTACAGTGATTCTCCACACAAATCAACTTTGAATTTCATCCTGGAATCCAAGAACCTTTATAATAAGGTACAATGGACTTTCTAGTTGTTTCTAGTTGTTGTTTTTCCTCATTCCTCCAAGATAAACATTTCATTCTTGGCCTCATCTCGCAAAGAGGCCAAGCATTTTCACCTCCAAGCCCTTAGCACACCTAGTTGTCTAGTTCTGAGAGGGGGGAGCGTGGTCCTGCTCTCTGCCAATCGCTATTAATCGCCTTTCACATCCCACCTCATCTGCGAAGTCTTCTCTGACTCTGGCCATGTCGACTTCTCCCTCCTCTGATCTAATAGCCCTGACAACACTGGCCTTGGTCATATACACTCCTGTTTTCCATCTGTGCCTTCCCTGTTTAATAAGTGTGCGGCAATGGACTGGAAAGAGAGGCCAGGGCTCTGATTCAGCTAGGGTACCACTAGGGTGTAGGACCTTGGGCAGGTCCTTTTCCATCCCTAGGCCTGTTTTTTTATGTGGCCTCGGTTCCTCAGCACACCAGCTACATGCCTCTGCCTCACAGCCTTTATGTCTGCTATACTCTCTGCTTAAAACAAAACTACATGCGCATCTGGCCCATGGACCTACAAGCCTATTTCTAGAAATTTACTTTTTTGTTGTTAATCCTCACCCAAGGATATTTTTTCCACTGATTTTTAGAGAGATTGAAAGGGAGGGAGGGAGGAAAAGAGAGAGAGGGAGAGAGAAACATCAATGTGAGAGAGACATGAATTGGTTGCCTCCTGTATGTACCCCAACCAGAGCCAGGGATCGAACCTGCAATCCAGGAACATGCTCTTGACCAGGAATCGAACCCAAGACCCTTTGATGTGTGGGCTGACATGCCAACCACTGAACCACACCAACCAGGGCTAAAAATTTATTCTTAAGATACACCTCCACAAATATAAAACTATACAGAGTTACCCACTATATAATTCTATAGACCCTATAAAATATCAAAAACATGGAAGCAACCTAAATGCCCATCCACAGGAGACTGGTTGAATAAATTATGATACAGCTTTACAATGATATTATATAAGGGAGGGAGAGAGAGGGACAGAAGGCGGAAGAAGAGAAGAAGCATCTCTACGAACTGAAGTGGGAAATGTCTGGGCTATGTTAACTTAAAACAGCAAAGTGTAAAATAATTATACACAACATGTTTTTTGTATGAGAAAAAATAATTTGAAGCATACATAAATATTTGCTTATTTTCATAAAAAGAAACACAGGAAAGATCATTCAGAAACTACTGAAAATGGTTAGCTGTACAGGGCGGGAACGTGGGGCGAGAGAGTAAACATGCTCTGAATATAGTTTAACTTCTAAACTGGGTATTTTACATATTCAAAAAATAAATAAAAAGGAAAAAAGCGAACAAAAAATTGAAAAACAGAAACAAATGACTAACTCTATAGTAAAACCTCAAATAAAAAAATCAAGTAACATTTAAACAGCATTCTTTGTTTTAAAGACACAAAGAACTGCAAATCAATCAATCAATCAATCATATGTCTATTGAGCCCTGGCTGGTATGGCTCAGTTGGTTGGAACATTGCCCCTTACACCAAAGGATGGTGGATTCAATTCCCAGTCAGGACGTGTATGGGAGGCAGCCGACAGATGATTTTCTCTTACATCAATGTATTTTTCTCTCTCTCTCTCCCTTCCTCTCTCCCTGTTTTCAATGAAAACATGTCCTTGGGTGAGGATAAAATAAAATGAAAAATTATAGTATTGATTGGTAACTCAGAAATTACTTATAGAAAAAATGAGTCAATATAGTGAGGTTCTTGGAAACCAGAATTGTCACTGAGTGAGATGGTATAAATCTTTAAGGGGAGAAGGCAAGAAAGAATTGTGATAGTAGATAAAATTATGATTTAAAATACATATACATTTCTTAGCTCTGCCCACTGGAAGGCCTAAAAAACAATGGCACCTCAGTAGCAATGAACAAAAGATAAAAATGTTGGTTCCTTAATGTCATTGTCCATTAAAATGAAGCAGAGATCCTTGCAGAAAAGAACTGATT